CCCGCCACCCGTCCGCCCCCGGGCCCCGCTGCTCGCCCCCCTCGTGCTGCAGCTTCTCGGCAGCTGCTGGTGCGTCCTCATACACCCAGTTGGCGCGGTTCTCCGCATCTCTGCAGCAAGAAAAGGGGCAGCATGGCGATTGAATGTGTTCCAATCAATGAATTGACCTGAAACAAACAGGCGATGCCGGCGGCAGTAAAGTGATGCACATGCCTGGGGCAAGTCCCAACAGGCTGCCTCCGCTCCCATGCAACACGCACACCCTGCAGGCAGCCGCGCGACCCTGGTGCCACCCCGCCGCACCTGCTGCTCGTCAGCTGCCACACCCTCAACACACAGTCCTGCCCGGCAGTCGCCAGGAAGCTGCCGTCCTTCGACAGCCCGCACGCCCAGATCACGCCCGCATGCGCCGCCACGGCCTGGCCCAGGGACACGTCTGAGAACAGCTGCCCAGCCATGCGCTTGTGGGCCGTCACACGGATCGCATTCGGGTCGCGCGCCGCCGCCTCGCGCGGCCCGAGCCCCGAAGACGCAGACCCCTCGCGCCCGGCCGCGCCCGCGCCCAAGCCGCCGCCGGCCCCGCCGCCGGCCGCGGCCGCCGTGATTTTCATGGCAGCCGCTGTTGCCGCCGCGGCGCCACGCAGGCGGCCGGCAGCCTGCAGCGCGGCGTTCTGAGCGGCCTGCTTTGAGAAGGCGCGGTATGGCAGCGGCCCGGGAGCACGCCCGGGGGCCACGGCGACGGCCACAGCCTCAGCCGCAGACGCGGCCGCGGCGGGCACCGCCGCGGCGTCCGACCCGCCGCCGTCCTCGGCGGCGCCAGCAGCAGTGGCGGCAGCATCAGCATTGATGGAGGAGCCCACCGTAGGAGGCTCTGCACGCTGTCCACCGCCGGGCCCCGCGCTTGACACGGCAGCGGCGGCAGCAGCGGCAGCAGCTTCGGCAGCGGCCGAAGTGGCCGCCGACGCGGCAACGCCATCTGGATGCTGCGGCGCAACCTCGTGCGCGCCGTTGGACGCCCTCTCCAACGGCTGCTCGGCGCAGGGTGGGTGAGAATACAAAACATGGTTTAACATGCGGCGGTTGCGAGGTGGGCCGCGCGGGCGGCGGGCTGTGACGGAGCCGAGCGCAGCAAGCAACCGCACGCCCAACGCGCGCCGTCGCGCACGCGCGCGCCTGGCGGACGCAGGCGCGTCCGCTGTCAACGCTGCGCTGCAGCGGCCGGCCGCCCCCACCTGCGCGCCCCCTGGCTCCTCCCCCGCCCCGAGCTCCTGGCTGGCCGCCCGCTCCTCGCCGCCGCCGCCGCCGCCCGCCGCCCCGAGCGCGAGCTGCGCGCCCCCTGCGCGCCGCCTGGCCCTGGCGCCTTTCAGCAGGTGCTGCAGCTGGCTCTGCAGCTTGTCTTGCAGCTGCGGCGGCAGCACCGCCCTGTCGGCGCGCTCGCGGTCGGACAGCTGCCGCTGCTGCTGCTGCTGCTGCTGCTGCTGCTGCTGCTGCTGCTGCGCCGCGCCCTCGCCGCCGTCATGCGAGCCGCGGCCCTCCTTATCCAGCTGCTCCTTAGCTTCCTTTATCCCCGCCACCACCGCGTGCTTCGCCTTTTGCGTCCTGCGGGGGCGGCAACGGCGCGGGGGCGGCGTGGGGGCGGCGCGCCAGCTTAATAGGCGACGGATGCCCGTCCCGCCACGGCTGCCGTGCCGCCTTGGGCGCACAAGCACCCGTCGAAGCCGCGCTGCGCATCGCACCACGGCCGCCGGGCGCGCACCACTTTTGGAGTTTCTTGATCCCCAGCTTTTTGGTTGGCGTCGCCGCGGGCGACGGCGCCGCCTCCTGGCGAGCGGGCGGCGCGGGGCGCGGAGGTTGGGCGCCAAGGCCACAGGCGGCGGCCGTGGCGCGCGTCAGGCCGACGCCGGCTGGTGCCCCGCAGACGCTGGATCAGAGCGCCTGGCCGCGCCCTGGTGCTTCCTGAGGGGGGGCGCTGCACCCGCAAGCAGCCTGGCGCTTGGTGGGTTCGCACACACACCTCGTCCATGGTGGTGAGCCGCTCAAAGTCGTCCACGCGCATCTCCAGCCCGGTATCCAGATTGCGTATGATGAAGCGCTGGACATACGCGGGGCGAGGGGCCGCAGCCCGCGAGCGGCGGCGGGCGTCAAGGCGGGGCAGCGACACACGTCAGCAGCTGCGGCGCATTTTGCGCCGCGCGCCGCCTGGGCAAGCGGGCGGAGTTCTGAGCCTCGGATAGGAAAGAGATAGAGCAATGTTGCGTCCCGTTGTGCTTGTGAGGCATCCGAAAACGTTCGACGCACCCGTTCATCGTCTCCTTCCTCTTCGGGCTCCCCCTGCGCTTCTCGTGAGCTGCCACCTGGAGTGAAATCTCCCATGGCTGCGTTTTAATTGCCTGTATACGATCAGTGGACGCACGACGCGTGTGGCGCGATCTCAACTCATATAAATCGAGGTATCAACAAATGGAGCTATATCGAACAAACGCTAAACCCATCAAAACATGCCGCTTCGCAAAACCTCCGCCTGCTCATGGGTAGCAGCAGACTTGCTGCCAGCCTGGACAAGTGCCAGGGCAGAACACTGCAGGCCCAGCAGTGCAGAACATTGCAGGCCCAGCAGTGTGGGATGAGGGAACATGGTGCTGCTGAAGGCACGCAAACCCCAACAAACCACCTGCACCTTCGTTTTATCATACATGCGCAAAGTCATCGACCTCTCAGGACACTGGCCTACCCTGGCGGACTGATGTTCACCTGCATGTCTCAACCCACCCACTAGCTCATCAACCCACTCACTCGGGGCTGATGCGCGATCGACTACTCTTGGCCGCCTCGCATGTATCAATCTCCTACATTATTTGTGCTAGGTAAATCATCCGCTTGCGGCACTTGCGCGCCCCAAGGCCTAAGGCACTCCGCACATGCTGCATGCCTCCCCTCACACTTGCCTCACAGCCCGACCTGCCCTTTGCACTCGCCGTCACCCCAAGCAGCCTGCCAGAGCAGGCGCACGAGTCTCAAGACTAGCTTTGTTCGGCACCTCATGTGTCTATAGGTACTTGCTGCCCGGTCTGTACCATGTGTTTGCTGTGTGTGCTGGAGGTCTGGTCGTAGAATGTTGCAGCTCTGTTAAATTGAGCTGTCAATCACATAAACAATTGTTGATACTCTTGGGGCAAGCAGAACCAAGAAGCGGGCCGCGTATTTTCGCTCCGCTGCGCCGCTTGTGTGGCGACTCCCTGCGCACACCAGCGTGCGCGTCTTGGAGACCGCTGCAGTCCGCGGCTCCTTGCCGGGTCATTCTGCAGTTCGTTGCGAGCACTTATGCTAAGCTGCTCGAACAAGCGGATATCTCAAATTCATGCTTGCTCCTGAACCACGGGACCTGCACAAGATTTCGTGCAAGGACGACATGCATCGGGCACATCCCCATTGATTGCATGCACCCACGCGTTTCCAAGCCATGTGAATCTGTTCACTGCATGCAATGCGCGTCAAGAATTTTGGGACAGCCACACGCGAGCTTACAGCGAAGTCAGGTGGGGCTCCACCAACATCCCGCCATGGGATGCGGACACACTCCTAAAGCGGGGCTCCATTTGTGCCGTGCCTGAAATCTGTGATTGCTGACACCTGTGAAACTACATCCATGCTTCATGATGAGAGGCTGACGCAAGCGTCCCAGACCGTGTGAATCAGCACTCAAAGTGCCAGCCAACCGGCCTGCAGGTGCTTGCAACCATCCAGTCAACGCGTCCAGCTGGGCTCTAGCTAGAGCCCAGCTAGCGTGGCATGTGATCTCCAGCTGCCCCACAATGGTAACACATCAGCATTGTACTTGTCGATGCATAACACTCACGCGTAGCAGAACATGCCATGTTCGTGACATGTGTCATCCTGCTCCCGCACAGCGTGATGATTAACCCTAGGTATGCCAGCTAGGACCACTCACCTGGGCACTCGAACCCCTCAACCTCTGCCTCGCGAGGCGGAGTCGATGGATTGCAACTGAATTGTTTACTTCTTAATTCAAGATTTCGAAGCGCCGACGTCGTCGTCGCCAAGACATTTGATCTCGACGCGTGGGGGTGCTTTTTAGGATGCGAGTGTGGGACCTCACCAGAATTTTCTAGCACTAGTTTGCTCACTGCACACCATGACAGCGTCTCCCACGACGGGGGAGGCCCTGAGGCTAGCTTTTTGCTGCTGTGGTATCATCGGCTCGCTCGTGGTGTACGGCGTCCTGCAGGTATATAAATTCACGTCCATGACAAGCAGATGGCGGGGGATGCCGGCCATTTGGGGCCAGTTGTGCTGCTTGCGCCGCAGCAAGTACGCCGCATCATAGGCCCAAACACAGTTTGGGCAGCATTCTCACCTTCCTGCATATTCCTTTGACAGGAGCGCGTCATGACGCTGCCATACGGGAAGGGCGATAACAAGGAACTCTTCCGGTTCAGCCTGTTCCTCGTATTCTGCAACCGCCTGGTCGCAGCCCTGATCGCACTCGCGACAATGCTGGTGCGGCCGTCGGGCGAGGGGGAGCCGCCCTCCCTTGCCGCCTAGCATGGCCATGATGGACCGCTGGGCAGTGGGCTGGGATGGGCTGTGGCTGCAAGGCAGCCTCAACGCTTGCGCCTGAGCTCAGCAGCTTGCCCCAAAGTTACCGACGGCGCCTCCGCTGCCGTCCCCGTGGCGGCGCTCTGTTGCCATTTTTGGCGTGTTGGGCCGCCGCGTCACCTGTGCCATCGCCATCCCAAACCCGCAGGCCAAGGGCGCGTACAGCGAGCTGCGGCCCGTCGCCCCCATCCAGAACTACGCCAGCGTGTCGCTCTCCAACGTGCTCGCCACCACCTGCCAGTGAGATACAGGCCTCGCCCTGTCTGCGGTCCCGCACACCTGTCTGGACGACGGCGTGCACGCCTTTGCTAGCCACAAGCACCACGTTGTGTGGTCCCCATGCTCCTTGGGTCGTGCCTGACCCCATCCCGATCATTCCACAGCCAGTGTCCCTCAAACCTCCAAGACGACCCAGTGACTGCTGCCTACACGCACACATCCACACACACACACACATGCACGCACGCACACACACACACACACACACACACATGCACGCATGCGATTCTACCCCTCAAACCAACCCCCAAAGGTACGAGGCCCTGAAGCACGTCAGCTTTGCCGTCCAGACCCTGGGCAAGTGCGCCAAGATGTTCCCGGTCATGGCCTGGGGCTTCCTCATGCTGCGCAAGCGCTACGGCGCGCGGGACGTGGCGCTCGCGGCCGCCATCACGGGCGGCTGCTTCGTGTTCTTCACGTTTGGGCCCACGGCCAGCAGGTGCGCGCGGCGGGTGGCAGGGGCGCCGCCGGCGGCGGGCGGCGGGGGCCGCGCCGGCCGCGGGTGGCGGGGGCAGCGCGGGTGGCGGGGGCGGCGCGGGAGGTGGGGGCGCCGCCGCTGGGCGGCGTCGAGTGCTGCGGCGCGCCTGGCGTGGGCCTCTCAGGGGTGGAGGCCGCTTGTCCGAATGGGCACAGCCTTGCTTTGGGCTGCCAGGGCGCGCTGCGGCCTGGGTGTGCTGTGTGCGGCGTCAACCGTCGGGCCTAATGTGCGACTCACTGCCGCAACCGCCGCCGCCACCGCGTGGCTGTGGCCGTGCCGCAGGGTGTCTGGGGGCCCTGGTGGCACCGCGTGGGGCGTCCTGCTCATGAGTGGGTACCTCGTGGCTGACGGCTACACGTCAACATTCCAGCAGGCCATGTGAGGGTGGTGCGGGCGCACGCGCGCGCGTGTGTGTGTGTGTGTGTGTGTGTGTGTGTGTGTGTGTGTGTGTGTGATCAAGTGTATGCGCACGGGCGTGATGGTGTGCGCGCACATGTGTGTGTGTGTGTGTGTGTGTGTGTGTGTGTGTGTGTGTGTGTGTGACAGCATGCAGATGTGGGGACGTGCACATGTGTTTACGAATTCAAATGTGTTGGGACACAAGCAATTCTTGTGAAGTCATGATTTGAGGTGACGCGCCGCTGCCCTTTGGGAGGCCAGGCGCACTAGCGATGGCCTCAGCAATGAGTGCTCATGTCACGGCCTACTCATCCCTGTTGGATCGCGCTCACGAGGCCTGGGCCCTCCTCACCCTGCTCTGCGGCTCGCCCCAGGTTCAAAGGGTACCAGATGAGCACATACAACCAGGTTGGTTGGAGACGCGACGCATGCCCTCGGTGGCGTGCAGGGGCGCACAGGGTCAGCGCTCTGCGCGCCTGCGCCTGGTTTGAGGGCATGCGAGGAGGTCGGGGGGCGATGCGCGGATGCTTCCCCCCCTGGCTGGCTGGGTAGGGTAGCAGCTCCTCCCTTTGCTCATGCAGTGTGCCGCTGTCGTGCTTGCTGTTTGGTGAGCTCGGCCCTGCCGCACCCCCCCATGCATGAAAACTGCTGATGTCACAGGTCATGTACACCTGCCTGTGCTCCCTAGTGCTCAGCTCCTTTGGTGAGCGCGCGGCGCCGCCCTTCAGCGCGTCGTTGGAGCGAGCGCCCCTCCGCCCGCGGCTCATTACGGCGCCCTGCACTCGCAATTGGCGGGATCCTGCCTGCAGGCGTGGGGGCGGCCCCTCCCTCTCGCACCACCCCTGTCAAGATCTCATTTTACCCAGGGCCAGCACTGCACGCCTTGTCGCTGCCCACGGCGCCCTCCGTCCTCGACCCACGCGCACCCCACGACCCCCGCACCGACGCTCCCGCGCAGGCCTGGCCACCAGCGGCCAGCTTCCCGACACCTTCCGCTTCCTGCGGGCCCACCCCGAGGCCCTCGGCTCCATCCTCGCGCTCTCCACCGCCGCCAGCTGCGGTGCGCGCGCATGCATGCGGAGGGGCCGGCCCGCGCACCGCGAGCGCGCGCGCGCGCTGCTTTTGTTGCCGTGCGGCAGTTTCCCGGGTTCTGCTGTTACAGCTTCCAGCCGCAGCAAGGTGTTTCGGCGTGCTTGCTTCAGTCAGCCGTCGCCACAACATCCATGGCAGATTTGAGACGGTGGATTGCACTCGCTGCGCACATGTCTCCCGCCCCCCACTTCAAACACACTCACACACACACACACACACACACACACACACACACACACACACACACACAATTTGCAACACTCACACTCACACTCACACGCACGCACACGAATGCGCATACTCGTGTACATTCTTGCACCACCACAGGCAGTCTCTTCATCTCTTTCACCATCAAAACATACGGCGCACTGGTGAGCGTCGGGCGCCCTCTTTGAAGGGGCAACCAGACTGCTGAGCGCACCAGGCTTGGCCCCCAGCCAAGGGGCCCGCCGCCACTGCCGGCTCCACAGCCTTTGTTGATGGTTCCCAAACACACGCCTGCACTTACCCTGCCCTCTTGCCCCCCTGCCCCTGCCCCTATTTTTTCCACAGACTTTCGCCACCATTATGACCACGCGTCAGCTGATCTCCATCCTTCTCAGCGCCCTCATCTTCTCAAACCCCCTCACGCGCGGGCAGTGGTGCGCCCCCCGGCGCGCGCAGCGGCTCCCGGCCGCGCAGTCGCTCCAGGGGTCGCGGGAGCGGCGGTCCGACCGGCCGCCCCCTCCAGGGGCCATCCCCTGTACACTGCAGCAGCGAGCTCCCCGCAGGCTTTGATGCGACGTGCCCCCCCCTTCCGCCTCGCACCACGCCGCGCACATGAGCACGACGCGCACATGTGCTGCACCCCCTCGCCTCCTCCCACCCTCACCCTCGCCTCACCCTCACTTACCCCCGTGCGCGCGCGCATCGACCGCCTGGCACCGCACACAGGGTGGGCACTGTCATGGTGGTGACCGCCCTCTATTACCAGGGGCTTACTAAGGAGGCCGCGCACGGCAAGGCCGGCGCCGCCCCGCGCGCCCCCGCCGCGGCGGCGGCGGCGGCCGCGGCGGAGGAGAAGGCGCCACTCGTGCCGGGGCCGCGGCCGGGCACGCGGCAGGGGGAGGCGAAGGAGGGCGGGCGCGTGTGAGGGGCGAGGGGGGGCGCGGGCGCGCCCCTGCGCTGGCGCCGGAACACTGCGGGTGCGGTGAGGGGCGATGGGTCGGCATTTCTGCAACTTGTCAGCGGGTGAGGGCGTCATCTTGGGATTGGGCAGGCCCTCTCTTACCAGCCAGTGGGTGGCCCCGCGGCAACTTCATGCCATTGACGCCGACAGTGCGCCCACTTGCGCGCAGCGGAAACGGGCGGGCGGTGCAAGATTTGTCAACGGAGCGCGATTTGCCTTACTTATTGCCGACAACAACTCCTGCATACACACCCTCTGGGTGCCATTGCTGGGCGTCTTACTTGCTGGCCGCGGGCCATGCCATGGCGTCCACGTGACCTGAGCGGCGCGGCAACCATTCTGTCATGTTTCAACTTGTTTAACACCCCCATGCTGGCGAGCCACAACTCTGCCTTTTTCACATCCTCAATGCCGCTGGACTTCAAGAACACATGCACTAAACACTGTAACACTGGTTTTCTTTTCACAGTGATCAGGAAATCACGGTTTGCCTCCAATAACAGCGCCACAGGAGCGCGGCTGCGCCGACCGTCCAAGTTGGCCAGCACTCCTGTACATGCTGCCGGCCCTGCGGTCGCGGCTGCTGGGGCGGCGGCAGTGGCGGCTGCTATTGCTGCTGCTGCTGCTGCTGCTGCTGCTGCTGCTGCTGCTGCTGCTGCTGCTGCTGCTGCTGCTGCTGCTGCTGCTGCTGCTTCTTGCTGCCCGCC